ACGGGATATTGGGATAGAGGGTGAAACAGAGATGATGGTTTTTACAAAAGGCGAGGTTTTCACAGTTGACAACACGGCGGTGAAGACATCGGTTGCACTTTTCTAGAACTTTAAAAATATAGATCTTTTCCAAGACGTCTTGGAATGAGACGCGTACCGACCGTATACACAACTGTGCCAGATGTCTTGATTTCGAATTTGTGGCCCTACTAGTAGCTTGTAGTACTTATTTTTACTCGTATATGTTTGTCCACTTTTCGGCGAGGAGGTAAGTACCTGATAAATGCGAATAACTTAGATACAATAGCCTAATCTATAATGATGATAATCATTCCACCTAGATTGCGTCGGTACAACATGTGAATCATGTTGTAAATGGTTTTGGCTACTTTGTTTACGACCGGCTGCCTACCTAACGTCAGGAACAACTATCTGTATTAAAGCCGTGATAGCTCAGTGTCCGGGCACTCGCCCTTTAATTCAATATACTCAAGCAACCTGAGTTCAATCCCCGGTGCCGGCACCAATGAAATCGATAAGTTTAAGTGCTGAGTTATCACGTGCTCAGCGGTAAAGGAGAGGATATCGTCGCGAGGAAACCTGCATATTTTTGAAATAATAATTAAAAAAAATATTTCGAAGATGTGAAGTCCGCCAATCCGCAGTGGGCCGCGTGTTGGACTATGCCCTGATACTCTCTGTACAGAGGAGGCCTTTGCCGTTTGGGACATGTATGGGCTTATACTTTACTTTTACTTTTATCTGTGGGTCACACTAATACTTGTCCAGTTTGGGAATTGAACCCACAGCACCGTAGCTAACTGCGCCACCGAGATATCATACAATAGCCGACTCTTATCCGTGAAAATGTGTGAGTCTTCTTACAAACTTAAGAATAAATCGAAAACTTGAGTACTGTACAAGCGCTATTCCTAATTTATTATCATTTCATGTGACCAAACAATAATAAAATGGAGTGTTATGAGATACGGCACGAGAGAGTTTCGTCTAGGGAGTGAGGTATCCAAGGTCCACTTTATTAAAAGGTGGTAACGCATCACCAACTGTAAGGGTGTTGCAAATGTCAGTGAGCAGCGGCTATCATTCAACATTAGGTGAACCGCCAGATCGTTAGCGACTTTCTCAAATAAAAAAAATAACTAGCACTTAAAACCAATGCTTCACTGAAATCTTAAATTGAATTTTAACGAACGCTCGTTTGAAACGCTCGGAATAATTTTCCAGGCCCTTAAAATCGCTTATCGATTGGCGGATATTTCAAGGTGAGTGTTTGTTGAAGAAGGTGCAGTGAGGTAGGGTGATACTGATAGCTCCGATATTATCGCCTGTAGGGAGCCTATAGAGGGAGCAAGCAAATCATTAGCGGAATAGATTATATTTAGGCCGTAACACTTGTGTAGCCGGTACGGAGTTCCCTGCCCAGGGTCCCACTGCACCATTATATGTATGTCCGCGAAACACGCGATCCCGTGCCGGATATATAACATAGTTTTGTAACTATAATGGCTTAATTCGTTTTGTCAGTTTGTTTAATACCATGCGATTTGTTAAACGAAGTTTAACTTAAGTGGCTATTAAATTAGAAGCTTTTATTGTAGTTGTTTGATGATTAAATTAATTGAAAGTTGTGTTGAGTGTTTTAGCGTATCATATAAACATTAAACGTTTGTTTAATAATAAAATAAGAAATGGTTCAGAAAATTGGAAGAAAATGTAAATTATGGCTGTTATAAAATAAAATAAAATAAATAAATGCTAGTGGAATTAATCGAAATTTTTTACAGAACATAAATCAAAAATAAATCATGCAAAGTAACAAGATTATTAAAATAAAGTTTGCAAAAAAGTTCATATTAGCAACTGTGGCATGGCCACACAACACCTTTAGCTGTTGCCCGAATGTCCGGGGCTCACTTCATTAAAAGGTGGCAACGCATCTGCAACCCTACAGCTGCTTCATATCCATGGGCGGCTGTTCTGAGTTAAGATCAGGTGAACCGTCAAATGCCCAAAAATAAAAAATATAAATGTATTCCAAAAGGAATTTACTTAAAAACACTTTCAAAAATGTACTTTAACTATTTAAGTACATTGTATACATCATTCCCTAATTTATATTGTTCGCTAGAGAATTATTTTGATGCTGTTAGTTAGGTAAAGTGTAATAGTGGGAATCATCAGACAAATAAAAATAAATAAAACAAATAAGTTTTTATTTGAAATTATTTGTAAACAAATATGGAAAAAAAGCACAACCATGGACATTATTTATTGTTAAAGTTATTACAGAAAATAAAACATAAGGGTAAAAATAATTAAGTCTATTAATATACAACCGAAGTTTGATAATCTTTTCACCAGTTCTCTATTGCACCAGTTACGAATATTTCCTTATAGACATGTTTCCAGCTCAGTTAAAATAACGCCTCGAAGCGTAACGCCTACGAATGATAATAACGCCAAAACAAAAAGGGAAACAAATTCAAGTGAGGCATGAACACGAAGGGTTGTAATATACCGTGACATTTTAACTAAACAATGTACGATTACCAAAGATGAAAGTAATGATTGTGCAGTCTGTAATTATTCCCTTGCTCGATGCTGATGAGTACTGTTCTGATCTGATTGCAATTGTCTCAACAGATTTGAACGTCTTTTTAATAACCTGCATAAAAACACACATCCAGCTATTCCTTTAATTACTTACTTATTGTTAATTATTATTAAAGGTTTGCTGACAGAGAACTCTGTTCAGGGTTAAGCTCGCCTTTGTACAGTCATTTTTGTAATCCTTCATTTGTAACTGTATTTTTTTGTGTACAATAAAGAATAAAAATATATTCTTCTTTTAATTCCTTTAAATTTGAAAGACTACCGATCGCTGTATTTCTGGTCACTATTTCTAGCTAAGCTGGCATATTGATTGTATCATTAATACTGTAGGCACCACCAGCATTCATCATGACGATGACTTAATTTGTTTTATGACAATTCACCAATTTTAATTTCGCCACTTAAAAAAATATTATGGTCTTCTCATCGTCTCCTTCTATCCCTATACCAATAAAAAGTATGCGTATCCTTCACTAAAGCCCTGTTACTTTTATGCTTATTTTCCTAAGCATTATTATTTTTGCTTTATATACTTCATTTCTTCTATCTATTAAATCTATGTATATTGTGCTACCCCGTTCAATTATGCTACCAGCTTGAGCGACTCGGACGCGGACGAAACAATAATTGTAAAAGCATACAGTCGAATAAGCATAACATAATGTCAAATCCATTACGTTATCGATCAAAGGAAAACAATGGATGTTCAATCATGTAAGGTCAAACCGGTGCGGTTTCTAGTTTCGAGGTCTACAATGTATAAGAAGAATCGCTCTATATATCTCACGTTAAGGTAACCATTAAACGTGCAGAGTCAATTATTTATTGATAATTACCAACAATGATATTTTAATTAAAAAGGCATTTATTATTAAGCAGTTTACCTTATACATTGAACAGTAAATTTTTCAGATTTGTAAATTACAAAATAAAACCTCACAGAGCTTTAAATTGCTACATTTGTAACAAGTTCTTTTAACTCGCCGTCTTGAAGTAGGATAAGATCAGGGCGTTCTGACGCTGTGGGGGTCACATACATAATCCTCTTAAAGGATCTAATTGTAATAATTGTGCAATGAGAAGGTTCCATACATTGAAAATAATCTGAGGTGCCCTCACAACATTGGTATGCACGAGGTGATATAAGACAGACAGTGATTAATGTTCTCAATTGTTATTTAGGTACGTGGGCAATAATCAAGAAGTTTTAGCCCACTTGACAATTGTCTTGTGTTCAATGAAAAAAATATTGGCACAATTCAGGTGTATTAGTAAAACGGAAATCGAATATGTGGAATAGACATGAGGCAATTAACACAGTTTTGTATTTTAACAAGAGGCGTCTTCGTGGGCACCGGTCCAATGCATTCATATGAAAACTCGCTTTTATTAGGTAGAGAAAAATGCATAAATGAGAATATGAGACAATTGGAACTACAGCGCTAAGAAAATAAAAAAATAAGATTAGCTAAATTTAAGTCGAATGCTAGTTTCATCGATAAAGTACGTTATTGAAACTTTGTTTTCATTGCCTACATTTGGAAGTGATAATATTTTTCTAAGTTGTGTGTTAAAGTAACTTACTCGTTAAAGTATAATAAACGTAGAATTATTTAAGCTTTTGTTAGACCTCATAAGGTATGATATTATCGCGTTAGGAGTGTGAACACGAACTCACGATGATTTATCTTAAACTAGTGGTTGCCCAGTGATCGAAATTCGATCATAATTAATTATGCGTGGCAGTGTGTGTAGTTTTGTAATCATTGATTTAATGTATTTTTATGCGTTATTTTAAAAAATATTAACATTCTGCACTCCTTCTCTATATTAACAATAATTGCGAAAAATTTGATACTCCTCGGTCCGCGCAATTTTCGTAAAAAGTTACACAAATTGTTTGCTTCACGTATTTATAGATTAGTGGCGAGCAGAGGTCGAAATTCGATCATAATTAAATTATATTATAAGTTTGAACAATATTAATCTACTCTCAAATACAATACACAATAAACACAAGTCAATTTTTTTTATTAACGAAAACAAAACCAAGTTCAAATATCGCGCTCTGTATTCATTTTACAATTGATTTTCAGGAGTTCCCTACGTATCTCCAGAGCTCAAGGTCCAATACCAATGAAATTAATAGTTGTCCCACACATGGAAAGCACCAGCTTTCAAATAAAAAAAGAATCATCAAAGTCGGTAGTACTACATGTTGATGTTCTATTTTCACTTCTTTTACATATTAAAAAAAATCTACGACCTTTGGAACTTATAAAGATACGTTGATAAGATACGGCGGGGGGAAGCGTAGAGATTTGTGTGAGATGTATGTATACTTTGGTGACACATATCAGTCGTACCGTGAGAGGAGAGTCGGGAGTTGATGCGTGCAGTGATGTTGCGCGCCACCTCCACCGCGTCGGGGGCGCGCGGCTGGAAGGCTCGGAGCCTCTCGAAGAGGCACTCCGCCGACACGTCGTCCGCCATGCGGAACGCTGCAAACAAGATAAGCCGCCGTTAATCCAATCGATACCGCCACGTTCCCCGCACGTACCCATGCCTCCTCTGTGCTGCACAACCGTCACTTACTGAACATAAAGTGCATACATTTCGTATTTAGAATGTTTCGACTCGCATTTTTGTTGTTTGCGTCTCTTCTTTCTAGATAGAGATAGAGCGGGTCGTAATTAGATTTACAAGCGGTTAATTGATACAGGCTTGTGTAGAAAATAGCGATTGGCTCAAAGATGAATCCGCTTGAATTCTTTTGCGAAAATCTTTGTTTTTCAGAATGACTTTTTTATCTACAAACATTGCGGATTTGCATTCTTCATCAACATTGTCATCCGAAGGTTGTTGCACATGTTTTAGTATATCGATATTAAATGGATTGTTAAAATATAGCAGTAAATGATTATAAGAATTTTTCGCTATTTGGTGAATTTTTTTTGCTTTACGATTTCCATACAATGTCTAATGGAACTAATTTTTTCAATTATGTATTTGGAAAAGGTTTATTAACAGCTATATAGAAGTTTTAAAATGGAATACTGTTACAAGAATTTAGTACCTAGGTAATTTCAAACCAACCTGTTATATCATTCGCTAATTTCATACGAGTATTAGATACATGTGTATTAAATGAGTATATTATATGTAAATAATTTGTCGACATGTTCCTTCATTAACATAGAGTAGCTAAACGTTTTTTTTTTCAAACAGCTTACATAATTCTAACAATCAAGAATATTAACATGGACAAAAAAAAGATTATATTGTTAAAAGAGTTCAGTTACGTTATGTGGCCTTTTTTTAATTATGGTTCTGAAATCTAATCGAATCTACTTGTGTGTAGTAATGATTCAAATTGTAACGCTAGAATCGTTGCACTACGAACAAAACTGCAATGCAACGATCTTAGTGGCGAGCACAGTTTTAGTATTGTCATGAATGTAGGTCAAAACAGAAGCCGGAATTTGGATGATAAACACGTATTAGGAATGAATGGGCGCTCGTGATTGCTAGCGGCTACGACGCGGGACGTACGTGCGTGAGTTGCGTTGTGTTGTCCTTTTTCTGGCGTTTCGAATGTGACGCTTTGTAAATAAACAGTGTGCGAGTTATATGTTTCTAGAGGCGACTGTCGCGAGCTAACGGCCAGCGCGACGCGGCGGTCGTCGGCCGACTAAAACTCGAATGGGGGGAACGGTGGCGCGCGACCGCGCCGCGTCGCTCGCCGTGCCAAATAGTCTTTTCTCCCGCGCAAACAGACTCCGCGGGGTAACTAATGCAGCTTAATATCGGTCTGTCTTCGATATTGTTTGTCTGTGAACGATAATAGACTAAAAATACACGTTGTTTCATTTAGCTAAATTCTCAATCGAATATTTTTTTTTTAAATGAATCATTTATTAGTCTAGTCAGTGGCAAGTCTATTGTATTTGTAATAACAAATTTATTGCAAATGCGTTGAGCGCGAAGAAAGAGAAAAATATCGTAGGTCATAAAATAGTCAGTAAATATAAAAAAAATCTAAGCTTAAACTAAGAGATATGTAAAAATGTTCATAAATTGATTTCTTCCTAGAACCGTACTAACGAACGAATGTGATTAATTTAATGCCCTGTGGAGATTTAGAATTATTTAGATAATCAACCTATATTACAGTGATTCATCGATTAGTTCGTTAACAATGTTAACAACGATATTATTTATAGGGCAGAAGAATTTTCCATTCTCCTTCTGAGTAAAAATCATCAAATAACCTTTAGTTTATACCAATTTCGAGGTCTGTTGTGACATACACTTGCATCGAGGAATTTCCAGTTAAAATATGAGGAGGTTTTATATAACACAAAGAAACACGCCTGTCAATAGTTTATACGTATGTATTATTTTCGACTTCTTTATTTACCAGTTAGAAAGCATTTCTGTACTAAAGCCAGAAACTGAAATAACGTGAGATGTAATCGAAATAATATTTACATCCTTTTATCATGATAGCTTTATTCACAATGATTATGACTTACATTTTCTTTTGGATTTTTTAATGACGTAACTACTGACAAAAGCATCAGCCACGGCACCCACTTTCTGTAAAAACATTCGATATTAAGTTTTATAAATTAGATATTTGATATGATCATATGGATCTGAAAAAACAAAAGGGTACAGAGTACCAGTCAGTCATTTTTATCGAGGTTAATTTCTCTGATCTAGTATCTCTTATTTATCGAAAAATAAAGGATGCGCTTTATGTACCATAGATCATCAACATATTTATATGAGTGCTAAGCGTTTATTTAACATTATATCTAATTAATAGATGATAGCTGCGACCGGAGTTCAAATCCCGGTATCGGCGACAGTAAAATTGTTAATTACAATTTTTCATGCTGACAGGTTTTTAGGTTACGGAAAACATCCAGAGAAAGCCTGCATATTTTCGCAAGATTAATTTAAAAAAAATCAAATTCCCAGCAGTGGTACGAGTGGTGATCCAAAAGTAATGATGTTTTAATTTTTTTTTACTACCACATATATTCACTAGGTCAGCATAAAAAACGTAAATAGGTGGCGATTTCAGGAAGGTACAATCATTTGAATGCAAACCATCGAAGAGAAAACATGAAAAAGGAGATAAACGATATTAGAGCTGTCAATAAGTATCTCTGTTTATGTACGAAAGACGATTTGCTGACGATATTAGGAAGAAGAAGAAAAGAAATTAGGGGACTCTGCTCCTCGATATTCCACCGCACGGATCCAAAGAGGAAGGAAGAATAAGTTCACTTAAGAAGGACACGCTGAAGGATTTCCATTTACTTCCCGCATTGGAGACAATGAAAACAGTCAAAAATGTCATATTGGCGGATCGAAGAGGAATTGAGTGGCGATCACAAGAATATGTGTGGCGGGGCCACGCAACAGTCTTCGCTGTTGCACGAAATGGCAGGTCAATCTAGGTAAGTACGACGACCTCACAGAAGACCAGCGTGAAGTGTAAGTGTTATACTTCTGCTTATCGTTTGAAAAGTGAGGTAGCTGGTATTATCATAAGGTGGCATCGCATCTGAAACCCAACGAAAATGTCAATAGGTGTCGGTTCTCAATTAAAATCGGGTGAATCGCCATATCGCAAATAAAAAAAATAAAAAACATCGAAAAGAAACGAAACACGGAAAGTATTAGTTTTTCGTTTACTAATTACTTTCACTTCACGACGATCTTCTAGTGAGGTCGTGGTACTTTCTGCTGCTTCGCCTAGCTGTTGCGTGGTCCTGCCATATCTCGATAATTTCATGCAGATCAGGATAATTTTTGTCACGTTTGTGACCAGGAACCATTTTGAGCCAGAAACGAAACAGCACTCGATGACCTGGAGACAACCTTCTTCACCGACGCTTAAGAAAAATGTCGATTGGTATTAGTTTATTAGAACGCTGAAAGAACGATTATGGTGGAAAAGCTGGAAAAGGTAGCCAATATCAAGCTCTTACTATGTAGAACAAATAAAAAGATTACAGGACGTTGTTGGGATATCTGTTACATTAAGACAACGCTGGATCACAAGGTTGCAGTTGCAATGGCTGCAATTCAAAAAACAAAATTCGAACTGCTTGAACACTTCGACCACCACGTTCCGGGTAAAAAATTTAAAGATTATAGCGAAATGATAGGGTTTGTTGAGGTGTATTAGAACAGTCACGAAAGGCTTTAAATTTTCAAAAGATTAATCCTGGCTTTCTGACAAAAGTACGATGTACTTATTATAAATTTAACAAAAGGGCAATACAAAATATTGCACAAGAAAAAGGACGTATCAAAAACCAACCTCACATTTTTCATTCATGTCACTTACACTACTTTTGATGTGACCGTTCTTTCAACGACCAAATGTATTGCATTTCCGATAAAAATATCTACAAATTTAACAACTTATATAACCTTTAAATACCACGCAGAAAACATTGACATTTGAAACATGTCACAAGTAAAGACAAAACATGGCCTGTATTTTTTGTATGTGTTATAACAGCCCGTATTTGATAACGCATTAATGTTATAACTAAGTATTACTGCCAAAAATATCTATTTCGCAAGATTTAGTAGTGAAATTTCAAACATAACTTTTGAAATTTTATAAATAGGTATTTTGGCTGTAATTACGTCCTATAGTTGCTATACATTGATGTTTTTTAAAGTATTTTTATTTTTTTTATGTGAAAAGTTGCCCAACGAGCAGACGGTTCACCTGATGTTAAGTGAATACCGCCGCCCATGGACATCTCGTACACCCGAGAGTTACAGATGCGTTGATAACCTTTTGAAAATTGGGCTTCGGCTACCTCACTCAACATACGAAACGCGAAAGTATTTGTCATACTTCCACTGTACGCTGGTCTTCTGTGAGGTCGTGGTACTTACCCGGACGGGCCTGCCCATTCGTGCAACAGCCGAGGCTGCTGCGTGGCCCTACCACCGCAAGTCAACGAACAAATCAAAATCTTTCGGTGCCACGCGGCTATGTCCCGTAATAGGAACAGCTAATCACTACAAAGTATAAAATAAAGTCATCCAGTTGTCTGTCTGTCCCTATCTATGTTTAGAACTTTAAAACTACGCAACGGAACTTGATGCGGTTTTTTCACTAGATAGAGTGATTCAAGAGGAATGTTATAGAAAGAGGAGTTTAATGATGTGTAAAGATGTATAATACATTGAAACCGTGCGAAGCCGAGGCGGGTCGCTAGTATCATAAAAAACTTTATCTCATATAGAGATAAAATGGATCCGTGCAGTGAACCGATAAAGTAATTGTTTATGTGTAAATAAAAACGGTTTAATTTTACATTGATGCGAAACTTATTAATGGAAGCTAGAGATGAGCCAGCTTGGAGTCGTTATTTGTATTTGTAGTAGTTAACACAGGGACTAAAACCGGAATATACCAGTTTGCACATGCCGAGTTTTACGTGAAATGCTGGCTGAAGAGGAAAAGTAATTTCAGGGTTGAGACAAGGCTTTAAATACAAAATAAGAAAGAATTAGCATCACCTGATTTACCGCTTGAAAGTAAGTATGAGGAGTTAAAGAATCAACCATGATTAAAAGTATATCTTTATTTTTTATCTGCTCACCGTCTCCATTCACTCAATTAAATTTTTATGATTACATGTTTTGAAATAGAAATCACATTTGTTTGGTATAATGTTGTCCACGAACTAGTAAGTCCACGATAGCATGCATGTTATGAAAAAAAAAACCGTTTAAAAACTTTTAAGTTAAACGGTTTTATTTTATGTTTTTTTTTGTTAAATTTATTTTGTTAATATTGTATTGTCATCTAAATTAAATGTGTGTACCAAATTTCAGATCAATCTGACAACGGCAAGGTGCTTAAATTTCAATTTCTAATTTTGACCCAAACTAACAAATTCCGTACGGGTCGAGCTAAATAAAACCGTTTAATAAATCAATTTAAAATAAATATAATAATCGTTTCGTATAAACCAAATCTTAGTCAATATGTTTCAAGATCGTGTGGTTTAGCCTTTACACTATATTTACTAGTGATGGAACAGATAATGTTTGAACATACAAATACTTAAGAAAATTACAACGATTATTACTGAATATAGAGTAAATTCAGATTGGAGGTATAGGACCAAAGTTAAACGAAAGTTTTCAAAAAGTAGAGTTATCAAATCTAAATCATAATGACGGTAGCTACAAAATGATTTGACATATTCTTTGCAGTTCCATATAAAAGCTAGATAATCAATGTTGTTTTACTAAAAATGACGCATGTCCATACTAAGCGGTGTTTAAAAATTGTTTCGCGTTACATTAATATATATGTGAATGTGACAGCGAATATAGAACGTATGATACGGAAAGAGGTAGCAGTCTATAGAATTAAAACTTAATTACACCAATTGGCGTAATTCGATTGTGCCCCAATTTTGGTGCGCGAGTTGTTGTATATATCTCGTATTTGTATATAATATCATTAAATCGATTGATTTTTACGGATTGTTCAAAACAGTTATAGATTATTTTTGTATACATACATATATGAAAGTAAGTCAAGGACAAGTAGAGCACTATGTGTAACTCATAATGTAATAGTAAAATGATTTTTGATGGGACATCATCATCATCGAAATCATCATTTCAACCTGTTCGAATCCACTTGTACACTTAGGCTTCCTTCATGATGGTGTATGTTCAATAAATAATGATAACTAACTCCGGAAAATAAACACATCGAGTCCTAATTTAGGCTAACTTAAGCCTGTGATTTTCATATTCAGAAAAGTTTACGTTTCCTTTTTTAGATAACAACTTCCAGTTTCCTTAACAAGGAAGAAAGAAAAATAAGTATATACCATGAAATGTGATTAATTGATTTATTTAATTAAGTACAGCTAAGTGTGAGTGCTAATAAAGATGAAGTATAAATAAATAGAAATATGTTGATGTAAAATTAGTTTAATGTACTTAGTGCGCATTCGATGCATTTCTTAAGTTTATTACAAAATTCATTTTGTTGATAACATTTTACGTGAAAAGATTTTTCGTTTTATTCGTTTTGGAAATAAGTGGAATACGTACCTACATCTAGAAATTAGACGTGGTTTCGGTTCCCATAGCGGCGAATATCTTTTCGTCCATTTTTCTACAAATTTTAATTTTACATTTTAAGTGCGGATTTTATCACTATAAAAATATAAATATCAATAGCAAATCAAATTTAAATGTAACGCTCTGGAACTGCCGTGTATAATTCCTTGATCTATTAAGTTCGCCTTAATGCTTTATCGATCAAGTACCTTTTAAATTTGTTTAATAGTTATTGCTGCTAGTTACGTGTAATTGTTCACGAAACCCGTCTGACGGCGTCGCTCTGGAAATGTCAAGTGAGATCTCAGTCCGGCGGTTTTGCCAATGGCTTTCTGGTCGTAAATGTCAGCCAATACAACAAGCAACGAACGAGACCACACCAGCCTTGGGTGAAAAAGTAAACATAACTCCTTTTTGTTCCGTGTGTAGGTAAAGCTGCACATTCCGTCCCTGCAAGAACATTGAACCAGTTTTATAACCAAGAATTTGAACAAGAACCTTAAAAGTATTCGCCCTTCAGTCCGTATTTTTAAACTTCTTCCTATTAAATGCCTTTTGTGTATAAACAATTTTTAATTTTTGTTAATAAATGTATTAATTAATAAACATTAAAAAATAAAACATTATAATGATACTTACCGACATAATAAATATATCAAATAACAACTAGGGAACTAATCATAAAATAATGTTACAAAGTTTTTGTGTAATTTGTTACTTAATGTTTGAAAACTTGTTGTCCTGTTGTTCAAAATAAATATTGTACATGCCATTGAACACCAAGATCTATGTTTATAAACATTGTCCATAACGAAATAGCAAATATGACGGTTCAAACACAATAGGCCAAACTCAAATATTAGTCGTGATTAGTGCATAGATCACTTGTGGACCTAAGCTCTTCAAGTGCACTTTCATTAGGTTTAGATTTTAAACAATGAATATTTCCACTTTGATCGTCGCTTCCCTTTTTATTTCTATGCAATTGATAAAAGTTATTTCGATGTCGGATACAACTCTGACGTCTAAGGTATATTTCATGTTTTACTTGTTATTTATTATAAGTTAGGAGTGCTATTGAGAAATATACTGTTTTATTTTTTATTCTTGTTGCCAATGAGTCGATAAGTATTTACTACGGCCCAACGCCCTTGAGG